ATCGCCTTAGCGCCGCGCGCATTCGTTGCAAACGGCTGCAACCGTTTCACGGATTGAGGGCGGGCCGATTTCAAAATGCGGCTCTCGCCTTGGAGCCGCGCAAATGGGCTAAATTTGCAAGAGATTCACGGATTGAGGGCAGCTCCCTTTTAACATGTGGCTCTCGCCTTAGCGCAGCACGCAGTCGTTCTACAAGTTCGCAAAAGTTTCACTCACCCTCATGTTTAACGTACCAGAAAGAATGTCTTGGACCGGCTCATGATTGCCAAAGCGTAACAGTTCCGTTGATTCGATATAATGAAGTCCCAGGAGTGGCTTTCTGGCACGATTCAGGATCGCCAAGACCTCACAATCAGGTTTACTCGTGGCGTTGAAGGCCCGAGAGTGGTGTTTGGGTACATTCCAAATGTTTTACACGTTTGTCCCCCAGCGGGGCAAACCCCTCAGTGGAAATGAACCCTTGTACGGGTGGGCAGATGTAGGGAGCATGGAGGGAGGGTGTATTCCAACAGCGCTTCATCCTCCTCCTCCTCCTCCTCCTCCTCCTCCTCCTCCTCCTCCTCACTCCATCCGCACCCCAGCCACGTCAGCGGCTCATGCGGGGCGCTCGAGGACTCCGCCGCTTTCGCCGGGCGTGTCGGGCCCCTGCGAGAGGGCAGCCCCTGACCCCTCGGGGCCTGAGGGCGGCGGCGCGGGGCTGTCTGGCGCGTCCGCCTTGCTGGGGCGCGGCCCCGCGGCGGGCCCGCGCGGGCTGTCCTCCCCGCGGCATGCTGACAGGGGGGGGAAGCGGGAGGCGGGAGGAGGTGGCAACCGCGCGTGCGCACCCTGGGGCATCTGCGGGGGAGGCCCAAGCGTGCCCGCAGCGAGGTGACGCAGCGGCCACGGTTCCAGCCTCGGCGTGCGCGAAAACCCGGCCTCGGGGCGTCCCGAGGTGGGCCCGGAGGCCCCCCCTCTCCAGGGTAAATCTGATCTGGAGTACGTTTGGCCTCCCGTGAATCTGGGCCCTGTCCCATGGGGCTTCGTAGAAACGACACATCGTATAGTGTGTGCTCTTCCGGCCGATTCTCCAGGCGACAGGTGTTGGAGCAAATACAGGTACACAGTGCTCAGGCCGCCCTTCGACGCTAAGTGGTGGACAGGCATAACACCAGATAGAGGACATAGTCATGGCGTCCAAGACCTGAGGGGTGCAACAGCGGGAAACGACCGGGAGAGCCGCAGCAACATCAATGGCACGTCGCCGTGGGACCCCCTCAGCGTGCTATTGCTGAGCAGAAGAAGCCGCCCGCAACCTGGGCAATCTGCGAGGAAGTGCCACGCTAACGGGCTCCCGACGGCAGCGTGTGCTTGCTGCTCTCGTCATTCCTTCCCTGCAGGTGCGAGGAAGGAGAGAGGAGGTGGGAGGAGGGGGGAGGGAGGAGGGGGGAGGGAGGAGGGGGGAGGGAGGGAAGAGGGAGGGAGGAGGGAGGCGGAGGAAGGGAAGGGGAAGGGGAGGGGGAAGGGGAGGAGGGAGAGGAGGGAGGAGGAGGAGGGAGGAGGAGGTGTTCGCCACCGTCGGCCTCCAAGCCTTTCCAGGTCGGCGAGGAGGGGGGAGAACGTCGGAGTCGGCCGGGGACGAGGAGGCGAGAGGAGGACAGGGAGAGAGGAGGAGGAGGATGGAGGCGGGAGGAGGAGAGGAGGGGGAAAGGAGAAGGAGGAGGAAGAGGAGGAGGGAGGAGGAAGCGTAGGAGGAGGAGGGGAGGAGGAGGAGGAGGCGGAGGAGGAGGGGAGGAGGGGAAGGAGAAAAGGAGGAGGAGGAGGAGGAGCAGGAGGAGGAGGAGAACGACGACGACGGCGGCGACGAGGGAGGAGGAGGAGGAGGAGGATGGGAAACAGGAGCAGGAGCAGCAATACTCATAATGAGGAGCAGGAGGTGAGGCGGGCATAGTTATGGAGATGGGGCGAATCATCAGGAAGGGGATGAGGAAGGGGGCACGGGTTGTGGGAGGGAGGAAACGATAGTCGGACGCACAAAGACATACTAGTACTATATGTCCTCCTTGGAGGCGCGCGTCCAACCCGAGCATGCAGTACACACATCTTGTAGTATATCGTTTCCCGAGCGGTGTGGCAAGAAAGCGCCCGCCACGACGCGTATACTATAAGATTTCTCGGTGCGCGCGTCGCCCCAGGGGTGGCGACGCGCACACAGCAGTATTAGTACCTTGGCGTGACGCCGAGACAGAGCTAGGTATGAGAAGGGCCCTGGGGAGGTGCGAGCAGGCAGAGGGACCATGGGACCCCCGAGGTGGTACAGCGTCCAAGCCGAGGCCGCGAAGACTGGACGCAAGGCCAGGAGGCGGCGCCACTCCCAGGGTGTGGAAGGGAGAGGCGCAGGCCTGCAGGGCGACCGGGCCGGCTCCCGCGGCGGGCCGCGCCACCCAAACTAAACGGGCAGGCAGTCGGCCGCAGGAGCCCACGCACCGCCACGGAGCAGACCCTGCGGGGTGCCTCGCCAACCACGCACGCAACGCCTGGCCTCCACGCACTGGGCCAGGGAGCATCGCTCCGCCGAGCCCCATACCCGGCTGGCACGCCCTCGGCGCCACTGGCCGGCTGGCACCCCCAGGTGGGCATCCGTGCTGTTCCCTCCCGGCTTCGCGGGGCCCGTCGCCACTTGGGGGGGGTGGGGGCCGGGGGGGGGGAGTGCGAGATACCATTGCCCAAGTGGGGATGGGCATCGTGCGCCCAGGATGGTCACGGCCAAGGGATGCGCCCGCGAAGGCACGAGCGAGGGATGAGAAAGAGAAGCTGTCGGAACCAGGCGACTCGACGCGGTCACTGGCGCAGGCCGCCAGCCTGGCGCACCGCGCGGAGAAAAGGACCCTCTCACGCGCGACCCTGCGCCCGCAGCTTGCGCGCGTACGTCCGAGCTCACCTGCATCCCGAGCTCGCCGCTTGCGCGCGCATGTCCCCGCGGCCGATCCCACAACGGCACTCGCGCGAGACACGAATGCAGCACGATGAGAACGACGACGACGACGAGGACGCGGACAATGCAGACAATGAAGACGACGACGACGACGACGACGACGACGACGACGACGACGACGACGACGACGACGACGACGACGACGACGACGGCGGCGGCGGCGGCGGCGGCGGCGGCGGCGACGACGACGACGACGACGTCGACAACGACGACGACGAGGCGAGGCAGCGAGCCCCGAGCGCTCGAGCCAAAACGGCTACGTCCTCACATCTACGGCGAAGAGAGAAGGGGCATGCTCACGCGCGGGAGGCAACGGCGACCTTGCGCGGTGGCTCACACAAGCCGCCAGCGCGGCACGCCGCGCGAAGAGAGGGCGACCACGCGCGACCTCACGCAGGACGATGCCCGCGCCGACGACGCGCTTCTCTTCTTGGCTCCAATTGGAAGTCGCTCAAATGGGATCGGAGCAGATGGGGTTGGTAGATCACACCGCATCGCCGATGCATCGGCGATGCATACGCGACGTCGCTGATGCATCGGCGACGCGTCGGCGTTGCAAGAATCGGGCTCCGCGCCGAACCGCATCGCCAAGGCATCGGCAATGAGGTCGTGTCGTGCCGACTTCGGCGTCGGCTTCTGACATCGCAGGGATCGTTCAACCTTGAAAAAACCGGCCGTTTCCAAAATGTCTGATCATTCAACAACGACCGATTCTGGGTCGCCGCCAGTTGACACGACGCTTATGTTGTTCCCATCGTACTTAAAGACCACATCCCAGAACTAATTTCGAGCCCCCGGAAAAGCCTCGAAAAAGTATCGAAACAGTGTCGAAACAGGGTCGGACGAGTGCCTCTCCCAGGGCCCGACACGTGGAAACCCTCGAGCTTCGGTTCTTTCTTGGTGCTCGACATTCTTCCTGGTGATCGAGGCTAAAGCAGGTGGAAACATCATGAAACATCATAACACGACGCGGATCTACCGCACCCACTTCGGCACCGCTGGGGCGGCCTGGAAATGTGGCCCCGTCCCCGGGTCCTCCTGCGGGCCGTGGGCGTCCTCGCGGGGCTGCGGAGGCCTCCTCCGGGCGGCCGGGCAGCCCGAGAGGGGCGTGGCAGGGAGCACATGTGAAGGGGCCCTGGGGCACACAAAGAAATAGGAACAAATAGCAGGATTCCCCATATTTTCTGGGTTTTTTGTCTCCCCCCCCCCACTTCCCATACTTTCTAATATGTACCAGGGGATCGACGATATTGTGTCAGAGTGTTTTCTCCTCCTGAATGTGGTCAGATCCAGGAGCGGTGCATCCGAACATAAAGCTATTTTTCTTTTTCTCGACACGCTGAGGTCGTCGCTGTGAAGGTAGTACTGTTTAGAAAACACTGTCCCACATCTTGTCAATAGGTGCTTGTTTCTGACAAAGCGCAGCGTCTGCAATTGATAGATGCTCCTCCGTATAGTTATGTTTGAGATGAGCTGGGTAGATTCAGAAAACCCAGTTCTCGTTTCATGAAAACGTCGCGGTTTCTCAACATCTAAAATGGTGCACGCGTTCACGCACGTCTTACCACTGTCTATGTTGGTCAGTGATCGTTGTTGTCTGCCGCCTTCCTAGAGGGAGAAAAAACGGCATGAACATCAACTGTCGGCGCTCCGCGCGGACTTCTTCAATCTGCGCTGGACCCCCCTCCCTGGCGCGCGGAGCGCGCCAGGGGCGGCGCCAGAGGCGCCGCCGGGGGGCCCCCGGCGCGGTTCCAAGAAATCCGCGCGGAGCGCCAACAAAAAAAATAATCTGCCATTCTTCTACGACTTCCGCCAGATCGGCGCGGTGATCAGTTGGCGTCCCCCGAAGCGATAGCTTTTCTTTGGGCCGCGCTATCTGAGTTGCTGTCTCGGGCGGTCATGGGAGGTCGGAGACTTTCCCAGGTGCGGTGGGGAGGCTGAGGGGCAGGGGGCAAGGGATTCGATTGAACCTGCGTGGTCGAGTCTTCCAGGCTCCAGTCCACAGGGAGCCCTCTCCACCCTACTGATCTTAGCCCGACCTGGCCCCAGACGTCCACGGGCCAGCTTTCCACCTGTGGCGCCGCTCACCTGCAACTTCCCAGCCCCGTCCAACCCGTTCGCGGGCGAAGATCCGTCTCAGACCAACTGCTCTGTCACAGGGGGCGCCTGCCCGCGGGCGACTAACAATTTCCTGCCCCGATGCGCCACCGTAGGCGTAGAAAGTAGAACCTTTCCAGCCGCCCTGGAGCGGGCGCCCCCGACGGCGAGAAAAAGAGGCCCTCGCGATGGCGCTCAGACCGCCTTCCCGAGACCGCCCGCGGCTTCCGAAGGGGGGCGCCCTGCACCGCCCGCGCGCCCTCGGGCCCCGGCGCGCTCCGCCTGCCCGGGCGCTTCCCCGGCCTCCCGCGGCGCGCAGCTGAGCGCTCGGCGGCATTTCGCGGCAGAGGCCCTCCACGTCGCAGGTGCCGTCGCACCGCCGTGGAGCCAGGCAGGACATCTGCGAAGTCATGTGGCGTCGTCAAGCCTGCGGCGGCGGAGCCCCATGTGGGACCATCGTGGAACTGAGCAAGACCCTGAAAATTCATGCGGCTTCGTTGGCTTGCAACGTCGGACCCGTCTTGGAACCAAACAGGAACCAAGCAGGAACACAATCATCTCACGGGGCTCCGTGTACTTGTGCAGCGTCGGAGCCCTCGGTGAACCAAACTGGGAAACAAATACATTCAGAGCGTCTCGTGGACTTCCAGCGCCGGAGCCGTCGTGGAACCAAACTGGAACCCAATGAATTCAAAGCGTGTCGTGGACTTCCAGCGCCGGAGCCGTCGTGGCACCAAGCGAGACCCAAAGCAGGAACCGGAGTGAACTTCCAAGTGTTGCAGACACTCCGAAGAACGCCGGAGCAGTCGTGGAGCCAGGGCGAAGCCGCTGCCCTCGGACGCCGGACCTTCTGCTGAAACGACAGGGGTCGACGACGCCGCGGGCTCGCCAGGCCCTCCTTTAACACTAGAGGAGGAGGAGGAGGAGGAGGAGGAGGAGGAGGAGGAGGAGAAGGAGGAGGAGGAGGAGGAGGAGGAAGGAGCAGAATGAGGAGGAGAGGAGGAGCAGGAGGAGGAGGGAGGAGGGGGAGGATGAGGAGGAGGAGGAGGGGGAGGAGGAGGAGGAGGAGGAGGAGGAGGAGGAGGAGGAGGAGGAGCAGCAGCAGATGCAAAAACAGAGTAGAAGGGAGAAGGAAGGGAGGGAGAATGGAGGTGAGAAGGGGAAAGGAGGAGGAGGGAGGAGGAGGAGGAGGAGGGGAGGATTCTCATACTAATTTAAAATCTGTCGACGGCCCATGCGCGCCGCTCTGCCCCGGATCGGGGAGAGGGGGGACCTGGGTAGTCAGCATTCTACAAAAGAGCAGTCCGGTCCCGAGCACCCCCCGAAGTCGGAAACAGTGAGGCTCGCCGGTGCGACGGATTTGTGGTAGGCTTGTTTTCCACCGCCACCACCGCAAGTAGGAGGGGGAGGGGGTCCTCCTCCCCGCACCGCAACGCGTCCCTCCTATCCCCACCAGACACGCGCATGAAACGGCCATTCCCCGCCTCACACAGCACACAGACCGCGCCCCGCAGACAGTCAACTGCACCAGCCCGCGCGCGCCTCACCAAAACCGCGAACTCCATACCGAGCCGGCCACGATCGCACCGGACCACGTCCGAACTACGCAGCGCGCTCTCGCCGTCTCCTCTCTCCGCTCCTCCCTACCCCTCCTCTTCTCCTCCTGCCACCTACTCATTCTCACCTCCTTACCCCTCCAAACTTTTGGTGGTGGTGGAAAACAGGCCCATCAAGTCTTGCTCCTTGCTCGCCGTGTCGCTGGGCCCTGCCGTGGCCTGTCGGCGGCGCCCTGGGGCTCATCTCCTGCCAGACGCGCCGAAGCCAAGAGAAGGCGCAGGGCGCAGGGGAGGGCGGGGGCGTCGCCGGGGCCCGCCGCGCGGGCCTTCCGACACACGCCTCGGCTGCGTCCGTCGCAATCGAATGCTGCGCCCACCCCCTCCCTGGAGCTCAAACCTGAAGAAAGAATCCGCACCTGTCCGAAGAGGCCCCCAAGAGGCCCCAAGAGGTCCCCAAGAGGCCCCCACGATGCCCCAAGGAGGCCCCGAGAGGCCCCAGAACAGCCCCCAGAGGCTTCAAAACTGCCTCCAAAGAGGCTCCCACAATGCCTCCCACGAGACCCCAACGAACATCCACGAGGCCACTCACATACAACCCAGGCACGGTAGCGGGGTGGACCGAAGGCCACTATTCATATAGAACTTCCCGGAGAACCATCGCACCCGCCACCCCTCTTGCCCCATCCACCACCTCAGACTCCGTTTCCTCCGGCGTGCTCTCTCGCCCCTCGTCCCTCCACCGCCTCTTCCATCCCAGTCCTCCTGCCCCGCCTCATCCTACCCCCCCCCTCTCCCTCATCTCTCACCCCTCCACCTCTTCACTCTACCTGCTCCTTCGCCATCTCTCTTTCCCCGATACTTCCTCCCCGTCCTCCT